AACTTATTTGGAACAGATTGGATCGAAGAATTCAATCTTTGGGATTGCCCAATGAGTATATTTTGATGATACAAGATACAAAGTACAACGTCCAATTTGGTAAATCTAAAAAAGGAACTCAAACAACAATTTCCCCAGGTTTTTTCTGGCGGCCTTGGGAAATGTACTAAAATGAAAGCTAAGTTCAAGGTGAAGGACGGTGCACAACCGGTATTAAAAAAGAAACGGAATGTCCCTTTTGCTGCTCTAGAACAAATCAACAAAGAGTTAGATAGACTCGAACAAGCAGGTCTTCTGTCAAAAACAGATTTCAGCGAGTGGGTAGAACCTACGGTCTACGTAAAAAAGAAGTCCAATCAAATACGAGCCAACGCGATCAGAAACATGCCGGCCCCAGATAACGTTCAAGCGTTACAAAGCTTCCTCGGCCTAGCTAACTTTTACCAAGGGTTCATTAAGAACATGCAAAATTTGAGAGGGCCTCTCAACCAACTTTTAAAAAAGGACAAACCATGGTCATGGACCCCGGAATGCCAAGACGCATACGAGAAGATCAAGAAAACTCTTACTTCAGACCTCTCCCTCACCCATTACGACCCTAGTCTCGACATCATAGTCGCAAGTGATGCAAGCTCGTACGGCATAGGCGCTTGCATATTACATAAACTGCCAGACGGTTCGCGAAAAGCTGTGGCTCGCGCATCAAGATCTCTAGTTCGATCTCGACACGCCTCAAGTCTCTCCTGAAGTGCGACGCTCAGGAAGGGAAAGGAAATTTACTCAACCGCTCGACGTAAATCACAAGAGAAAAAAGTATTAAGTTTTATTTTTTTCTCTCCTTTTCAAAAAGAAAACTCTTTGGAAAGGGGTTATTGTGAGACCGGAAACTACCTACACAATAGACTCTTCCAAGCCTATATTAAGTAGGCGACATAGCACTCTAGACAGTGACAGAGAGTGACACTGAGAGAGACAGAGAGACAGTGACATCCGCGTACGACTACCAGTATTGGACACTAACATATAGTAAGCTCCGCTTACACTATCTCTGTAACCCGTTGTTAATATATCTTTCTTACATCTAATCCGTGTTCCGTGTTTTACTTCTGTGGTCCCAACTTTGGCCCCACATCACTTATATATATATATATATATATATATATATATATATATATATATATATAGATAGATGTGACAAAGTGGAAAAGGTTTTCATGTAACATGTTAAAATCCCTTTATACCAACGTTCCAGTTGAAAAATGCTTAAATCTCTTAAAAAAGCATCTAACACAATCAAAGATAAACCTCGCCTTACCAATAGCTAAAATAAAAAAGAATCTGTCGTCTTATCAATAATCAATATATACAGATGTATACCAAAAAGAAAAAGACTACCTTGCTTACGTCAAAAACTATGCCTACGTCACACCACTTTTTACCTATGTCGCAACACGCACTTTTTCTAATAAAGTCGTATTTAAATTTATTGAAAAAATGTTTGAACAAAGTAACTATAAACATTTTTTTCTGTCCTCTGCCAGCCACCATGATGGAGAAATCATTACCTCGAACCATGGCCAGTGAGACACGCTGCAAGAGCCACTCCGTTTCGCGAGGATCGTCCCTTAATCGAGACGCAATCGCGCCAATCCTCCGAAGGAACGCCATCGAACGAGGGCCAATAACCCCAGAAGTCTCCACTGCCACAGGAGAAAAAACATAATCTATCAGCAAGAGAAGAATATTTAACTATTTTTTTTTTATCTCTGCGTCCCGGGCAACGGACCCTAGCTCAACCGCGGCCCTGATCAAATTACCGGCCGAAAATGTATCCGCACAGGTTGCATCCCAAATCAACGACTTCCTCATTTTAAAAGGGAAAATGGTAATGCCATCCAGTCGCTTTCCATCACCACAGTCGAGACCTACGGTTTCGATTTGGGAAGAGAACCCAGCTGCATCCAAACCTCTTCTGATGATGTCGTTTATTGCTGCATGCAGTGGGAAGCGGCCGATACTACGACGACAGAAGAGAGGATGCAAACCAAACTCATCAATGGAAGCTCCACATCTGCATCTGCGACGCTCACATAATTTGAGTCCAAGACGTATCGCGACTCCGACCCGAGTGCACTCATCATCTAGAAGGGTACCGGTAACCAGGAGCCACTACTCAGTTGTGAAGCAGATAGTAGACAGGCGAGGCGATGCTGATCCAGCCTCAAATTAGGGAAATTGGCCTCGCATTTTAAATTTACTCATTATTTCAAGATATTTTGGTGTAATTATGGTAAATATATCTGTTAAAATAAGATATCAGTGTTATTTTTATTTTTGCATAATTTAGATGACAATTTATTTTAAGACATTTTTATGTTTATACAATCTTTTAATAGATACAAATATTTAAGTAAATGCTCTGTTTATAATAAATGTCAATGTTTATTATTATACTGTTTATTATAAAACAGAGCATTTACTTAAATATTTGTATCTATAAAAAGAATGTATAAACATAAAAATGTCTTAAAATAATTGTCGGACTTTGTCCATTTCATAATGTATGACAATTTATCCATCGCACCCTATATATAGTCTCCAAAGATCTGTAAAGTACTTTCGACAATTTTTTCCATCGTACCCTATATATATATATATATATATATATATATATATATATATATATGATAAAATGCATATTATTTGGAATGCATCTTTTGAGTCGGACAATCTTGGAAAGGCGTTGATGACATCCTGACTTATTTTCGAAAAGGCTGCATCAGTCGGGAGCCAATGACATAAAGTGAATGTATCAAGAAAATTGTTTGAAAACAATTCTTCGAAAAACATTTATTCGAATTGTAAATTGTTTGAATGAAACTTAATTATACTAATTATTCGAAATACCTATGTTTGAAATACGTACGTGGTCTTACTTTGAGAGAGTCAATGTTGATATACTTAGAACTAATAACGCCCTTGAAGGATGGCATAGGACATTTTTGCATCAAGTGTCATCTCATCATCCCACAATATAGGAATTTTTTTAGACGCTCTTAAAAGAGAACAGGACTTGCAAGAAATTCATATTACAAAAGTAAGAGCAGACTATCAAGAGCGTCAAGAAATACAGCGACGAAAATAGAAAACTTAAAAAAAAAGGTAGCGGTATCCTTTTAACGAATACTCTTCAGTAGCGTACTATTTGCGTGTAGTATCATATAACTTAAATGGTTTATTAACAATATTTATATTTCGAATAATTATCATTTGTGTATTTCCTCTTTTCATTTTTACATTTTTATTGTAATAAAGAATTTTGTATTTCGTTTAATTATCATTTAGTATAATTGTCTTTTCGATTAATTTTCATTCAAACAATTTACAATTCGAATAAATGTTTTTTGAATACCGTAATTCCTCGTGTATAATACGCATTTTTTTCTAAAAAAAAAAAACAATAAGCAAAATCAGGAGCGCGTATTATGCACAGCCGTAAAATAAAATAAGAATTATCATAAAACTAAGTTAGAATAATGTTTAAAACCATTTTTGTTTTAATAAGAGTAGGAAACGCTGGCCGTAATGAAATTGGTAAGTTACAATTTATAGGGTTTGATTACCAAACAATGGGTTGGTATTATGCGTGAGTAGAAGCATTTTCCCACACTTTCAGCAGAATTTTAGGTCAGCGTATTATGGATAAAGGCGTATTATATATGGGGAGTTATGGTAATTGTTTCCGTACAATTGTTTTCGAACAATGTTTACATAATCAGAGTGAACTTCACTTTTGTCCGACAAACGCACACTGTCTAGAATGTAAGTCAGTCCAAAGTTTACCTATAGAGGAGATGGTAAGTCCGGACAAAGTCCACCTATATAGCTTAGAATATAAACCCAGCCAATGTTTACTTCTCAACTGAGTATGAACCGGCTAAAGTTTATCCATTGAGTAGAGACACTCAATGTAGGGGCTTATTGAATGTTGTTTTAGGGACGGAATATGTAGGATAAATAACGGTTGACTCTGAACTTGATGTTTTCTTTTGACAATGGTGTTCACCCTGTACACGGTCCGAGAGTCACTCGAGGCAGAGGGTAACAAATTAAGAAGCATCGTTTATGTGGATATGCGGGGAATATAAACGGTTAAGCATAAACTTGAAGTTAAGATTGAAACGATCGGGGAAACATCCTCTTGGGAGTCGGTTCCACAGAGCAGTAGTAGCTGGGTGAGGAAGAAGAGGTGGAGTCCTCCCTTTCCATAGTGTATTTGCGCTTAAGTGAATATAATGAACCCGTTCGGGATTTGAACTCGGCACTCCGATTTCCAATATTCCGAGACGTTATCTATTAATTACACCAGCCGCACATCCAAGCTTACCGCACCTGGTATTCGTAAGCGGTCACCCATCTAGGTATGTTGGTGGGGTGTTGTGGGGTGGGGTGGGGTGGGGTGTGGTTGGGTGGAGATCGTTTAACAGTGGTAGCTATGATGACGACGGCGACGGAGACGTCGACGAAGATGACGTAAACTCGAGAGCGTTCTAATGTCGAAAAAGAAATCACATTTTTTTTCCTCCCTGTCTGGGAATGTTTTTATGAACTTATCGATAAAAGAAAGGCAGCAGGAGCAACACTTTTAAGACGATGGCAACAGGATTTCTTAATTTCTCTGTTCTTTCAGCTTTTTCGATTGTCAAAATTTGATTCGAGTGCTTTTCCGTACACCCCCACATTTTGTCAAATCTGATTATTTGTAAACCACTTATGCGCCATTGTGATTTTTGTCGGGGGATTAAGGTTGTTGGTGAGGGGTGTTTGGCGTGGGGAGGGGGGCGGTTCTTTTTTTTTTAGTTTTTGCTTCTTTTCTTTTTTTCTCGGCGTGTTTTATTCAGGTTTCTTTTTGTGTTTTTTTTTTTTTTTGTATTTCCAGAGTTTGCTAAAATTTTACTTTACTTTTTCATCATATATTTCTCTCTTCGCTTGTCTTGAAGTTCACACGCATACATTCATTATCTCTCTCTCTCTCCTTTTTTCATTTTCTACATCCCTTTCTGTCTATTTCTTGGATTCTTTTCTTTTTCCTTCTCTTCCCCGCTCTCCGTCTCTTTCTTTTTCTTCTATTTCCTTTTGACTCTCACGATATTTCGTTTTCTCTTCTTATCACATTTTCCCACTCTTTCTCTATATCTCCGTCCTTTTCTCCGTAAATCATTTCCCCCATCTCTCTTTCATTTCTTATTTCTTTTTGCTTGTTTGTTTGTTCTTTTCTTTCTTTCTCTTTTCTTTCTTTTCCAGTTTTTTCTGTCATTTTTATTCTTTCTTTCTTTGTTTTTTGTATTCCAGCTTTTCTCTTTCTTTTTCATTCTATTCAATATTTCTTTCTTTCTTTCGTTGTGCCAATCTTTCTTTTTTCTCTAGCAAATCTTTCTTTCTTTTTCCTCTATCCAATCTTTCTTTCTTTCAGCTTCTCCTCTCCAAATTACAAACATTAGCTTTTGCACTGCCACGTCCTAGATTTTATTTTCTTTCCTTGCCATCTCACCTATGAAGTTAAAACTCGACTTACCAAATTTGTCAGCATTGGATTAGAATGTGCATTTTCAGCTTTCTTTCCACTTTAAGAACGAGAAAAACAAAAGCCATTTTTCCTTTCGTCTTTTCTGTCACTCTGCAGTCAGATTAGAAATTAGAATTTTTCTGGATGTTTCGAACGCGTCACATCTGGTTCATAGCGTTCATTTTCCCCACGAGATTATAGTCTTTATTTTAAGTTTTGCTCCAGCACGAAATGAACGAGAGTTAAATACACACGTACGAACAGACAAACTGGAATATGACACAAAGACATAGAAATTTATAAGTTTCCATGAGAGTGTAGCAACATTTATCAAATGTCATCACCTTCTGCATTCAATGCCGTCTATATTATTGGGATGCAGAATTAATTTCAACTTGGAATTAATTTCAATTCGGAACTAATTTCACTTCGGAAGGGTTTTTAAATCGATGTGAAATTAGTTCCGAGTTGAAATTAGTTTTGAGTTGAAGTTAGTTCCGACTTGAAATTGGTTCCGAGTTGAAATTAGTTCTGTCACTCATATTATTAGCTAAAACAATTTCCATGTACTCTAAAGTACATGAAAATTGTTTATTGCAATAAATAGATAAAAATTTGTCGGTGCGTATGTCGGCAGAACCTATTTACGAGGCTCTTTGTTAGAAAGAAAGTCTCCCTCGAAGATTTTTCTTATAGCTGGTGTTTTCTTCTCTTGGCTTAGCTTCGTGAACGAATATTTATGAAGCGGGCTGTCCAAGTCGACTGCAGGCACGCTAATGGCCGACGAGGCCGATACGGGACAGGCAAGTCCGCCGCGTCGACTGCAATTAAAGGTCTGGTCTGGTCTGGTCTGGTGTACCTGCTGAGGCTTCCCGGTCCTTCCTCCAGCGGCGTTTCTCTTTCAGGTTGGCCATGCGAGAATCCTCAAAGGTGGAGACGCCCTGGTGGACGGTGCAGCACCAGGCTTGACGGTCAGCAGCAAGTGATAACCACTGGCGATGGTCAATGTGGCAGGTACTGAGGGACTTCAATTTACTGAATATCATAGAATATTTTATAGACAACGCGACAAGATGTCCGTTTACATTGGACACTAAATCAACACTTAGATCGAAGCTGGGTATAATGAATGTAGGGCAGTTCCTTAATACTACTGCTTTTATTCCTTATATATAATATGATTTGGCTTACGGCCACATCATGTGGAAACACCGGTTCCCGTACGATCGCTGAAGTTAAGCAACGCCGGACCTGGTCAGTATCTAGATAAGTAACCGTTTGGAAATACTAAGTCCTGTAAGCTTAGTTGTATAGGTGGTGTAGTGGATAATGACTCGGAATTTTTAATCTGTGCGCCGTGTTTCAATTCCAGTCGGGTTCGTTATATTCACTTACGCGCAAATAACCTTGGGAAAGGTTTTGACACTACTTATTCTTCCTTCCAGCTATAGGACAATTGGTAAGAATTGTAATACTAAACTATTATTAACTCCCCTCCCCACAAATGTCTTATAACCTAAAATAATATTCTATGGCTTTAAATAACCTTTAGGAATATGCAACGCTCACAATTTGGGAACGTTGATATTTTAAGCTTTTAAATTAAAATGTAAATTTTAATTAATTTAATTTAATTTATTAATTAATTAAATTTAATTTAAATTTTAAATTAAAATATTTTTTTAGATTTGTCTTCATATATAGTTTAGACACTTTTATTTAGTTTTTTATATACTTTTGTCTTTGTTTTTCTCACTTTTATTAAGCATCCCACATTGTAATAATAATATTTTTTGTTTGTTTGGGGTTTTATGGCACATCAACCACTATGGGTTATTTAATGCCAAATCCAGTTCGCACATATATATTAAATATATATACTTTGTAAACATAATTTGAGGATAACGTCCTTAAACCACAGCTTGTTTATTCTTACCCAAGTAAATGGTTTCAAATGTTTCTATCTGGCATGAGTTCGTTATTTATATTGAATGAACTAATTCATTTGCATAGCCAATTGATGTAATTTTTCACTTAACATTATTTTTTTCCAAAAACGTATAGCTGGCAACATTATTTTTTCAAAAACGTATAGCTGGCAATATTATTTTTTCAAAAAACGTATGGCTGGCAACATTATTTTTTCAAAAACGTATAGCTGGCAATATTATTTTTTCAAAAACGAAAAGCTGGCAACATTATTTTTTTCAAAAACGTATAGCTGGCAACATTATTTTTTCAAAAACGTATAGCTGGCAATATTATTTTTTCAAAAACGTATAGCTGGCAACATTATTTTTTCAAAAAACGTATGGCTGGCAACATTATTTTTTCAAAAACGTATAGCTGGCAATATAATTTTTTCAAAAACGTATAGCTGGCAACATTATTTTTTCAAAAACGTATAGCTGGCAATATTATTTTTTCAAAAACGTATAGCTGGAAACATTATTTGATAATAATAATAATAATAATAATAATAATAATAATAATAAAATTCGGTTTAGATAAATGTGCAAAAGTAACATTCAAGAAAGGGAGAAATACGGAAACACCCTCAATAGATTTAGATTTTGTCATAAAGGTTAGGGAACTGGAACAAGATGAAACGTATAAGTACCTAGGAATTAGCGAAGGAGATGGTATAAAACATAACGAAATGAAGAAGGTAAGAAAGGAGTACTACAGGCGTGTGCGTCTGGTACTGAATACCGAGTATTCAAAAAACAGAATATCAGCCATAAACACCTGGGTTGTCCCTGTGGTGCAATACAGTTTTAAAATCCTTAACAAGACTGTAGCTGACATTAAGCGAATGGACACCCAAACGAGAAAGCTTCTCACTTGCATCATCCCAAAGCTGATGTTGATCGTCTGTATGTGACCAATTTGAAGGAGGCAGAGGATTAGTTCAACTAGAATTGTCTTAGAAAACTACAGCAATTGGCCTACAAAGATACCTGGAAACAATAGAAGACTGGATGATGATATATGTCAAAGAACATGAAAGTAGTAAGCGATTTATTCCGTAATAAAAGAAGCCAACAAGTACAAAATGGATTTTCAAATGGATGTAGAAATACAAGTAAAGCACAATACACCGACTGAAGCGACAAAATATTTAAAAACGAAAGCAAATGCAACCTACCAGATACATAAACGATGGCAAGATAAACTGCTTCACAGTCAATACTCTGCCCGTGTCAAACAATCTGATGTAGGTGGTTACGTAGTGCAAGGTTAAAAGCTGAAACCGCAGGTTTTATCCTTGCTGCACAGGATCAGTGCTTGTTAACTAGAAATTATCAAGCACACATACTAAAATATTGTGTTAGCCCAAAATGCAGATTCTGCGATAAATATCAAGAAACAATTAAACATCTTGTATCAGGTTACAAGGTATTGGCACCCACTGGCATGACAGAGTGGGCCAATATCTGCGCTGAAAAATCTGCAACTTCTACGGAGAGCAAACTGAAATAAAATTGTTATGAACACCACCCAGACCCAGTTACGGAGATAGGGTCTGTAACAATTTTATGGGACTACACAATACACATAGATAGAACAATCAAGGCTAACCGCCCAGACATTGTTATTAGAGACCGCAAGCAAAAAAAATTGCCTCCTTATTGATATGGCAGTCCCTGTAGACTGCAATGTATCTTGGAAGAATTTCAAAAAGCGATCAAAATACAAGGACCTTGAAAACGAAATCTCAAAAATGGGGGACATGGAAACATCAATTGTTGTCGTTGAACCCCTCGGATTGGTTGGAAAAGATTCCAGTAGACTCAGTGAAGGGATTCCTGGAAGCCCATGCTTTAAAGAAATAAAAAAAATGTTCTCACGAGTACACCCCACACCTTACGAAGGGGTTTATCTATCTAAAATATGTGTGTTGTTGTCCTTTTTTTTTAATTGCTCAATGGAAGATGTCATGATGCCATTTCTGACCTTAGGTCTCTGGGCGGGAGACAGAGAGAAATGAGTACGCACCAGAAAACAAAGAAAATAAAACAATAATAATAATAATATAATTGTGATAATAATAAAAATTCATATATCATATTCTCCCAAAGCATACAAATAAACATCTATTTTTATTAAATGTTCGCCTAATAGAAGCCCCAGAAGCCACTCAAATTAGAGTGTTTCTGAATAATGTTGTTGCATCGACGTAAGAGGAAGAAGTGGGTGTATATAATGAGTGTATGTAGGATGGGTAACTGTTGACCCTAGAGGTTATTGTTGTGTTTTGGAAAGCATCCTCTCAGGATTCTATTTCGCAAAGTGGCGATTCTCGGACGGCATATGAAAATTGCTGCACGCACAGTAGATTTAAATATATGTATCAACAGCTTCTTGGTTCTTTTCCAGTCGGCAACAATATTGGGAGAGGGGAAATGGAGAAAGAAAGTGTGAATGAGGAAAGACTGAGGGTAAGTAAGAAAGCTAGAGGAAAACGAAAAGAAAAGCAAATGGAAGGAAAGTGGGGGAAGAAAACTGCAAGAAAAATGCATTGATTTAATGACTTCATTTTTTTTTTACTCTTTTACCCTTTTGATTTTTTTAATGGGTGAAGCTTTGTTGAATTTTTTTTCTTATAGTGTGTGAAGCACACGTTACATAGAAAACTAGGTAGAGAACACAGTATTAATATTTATAGTTTACCTATGGAGGAGATGGTAAGTCCGGCCAAAGTCCACCTATATAGCTTAGAATATAAACCCAGCCAATGTTTACTTATCAACTGAGTATGAACCGGCCGAATTTTACCAATAGAACAGAGACACTCACTGTAGGGGCTTATTAAATGTTGTTTTAGGGACGGAATATGTAGGATAAATAACGGATAGGTTTATTTGTGAAACAAGAGAAGAGACTTTATTTTCTGTTCATTATACAGACAAAACAAAAAGCCATTTTCTTTTTCACAGTGATGACTATCATTTCCATTTTTATCAGTTTTATGTCAACATTCTTGTACGTTGTATCATTACCATAATTCCCACTGTGTTATAAAATCTGAATCGTCATCCATAATACGCACCCCTAAAATTGTGCTGAAAATGTGGGCAAATGCTTCTACTCATGCATAATAGGCACCTCTTGTTTGATAATCAAACCTATAAATTGTATCTCTCCAATTTCGTTATGACCAGTGTTATTAAATAATAATACTCTTATTAAAAAATTGTTATTAACATAGAATAATATTATTCTAATTTAGTTTTATGATAATTCTTATTTTATTTCACATTTGTAAGTATGCGTGTATTTGACATCCTTATGGGGTCACAATCGCCGAATGTTAGTGTCAAATTGTAGTATGTTTGTGGTGTGTAGTCATTTCGCAACTGAAATCTACCTATGAAACGGCAATTTTTTAAAGAATTTTTGTAGCTGTGCATAATACGCACCCTAATTTTGCCTATTATTTTTTTTTTTTTTAGAAATAAGTGCGTATTATACATGGGGAATTACGGTAATTGTTTTTTATGGGTTTTGTCATGCTACTTTCCATTGTGAAGTTGACCCAAATTATTTGTCCGATTGATAAGGAAATTGTTTATCTGGATAAAGAAAATTTTGTTTCGTTCAGTTAAGAATTCGTTTCGGAACACAACATCCATTCCCACTTTGCATTTTAACTCGGTCTATGAGAAGATTCGAATCTGCTTATCAAAGCAAGGAAAGGTGAAACGAAACGAAGCAGAAAATATATCCTTTCCAACATATATAAAATAAAATATATATATATATATATATATATATATATATATATATATATATATATATATATATATATAAAACATCTTTAAAGAACATCGGAAGAAAGGGAAAGCACTTGAGGAGTTTACAAGTCGACGGGGATAATGCAAAAACAAAAATGGCCAATTAAACAGATTGTTCGCCTCGCTGAAACAAAACAATAAGTCTGCGAAAACGGGAAATAAAGTTAACGAAAGACCTTTAGAAAGAGACGAGGAAGCAGGAAAACAAAGGTTTATAGAAAAAGCGTGACGATAAGAGACGTGATAGGTGACAGAAAGAGAGTATGAAGTTGAGAAATATGAAGAAGAAAGATGGAGAAATATGAAGAAGAAAGATGAAGAAATATGAAGAAGAAAGATGAAGAAATAGAAAGAGATGAGACTAAATTCCTCTCTAACGAACAGCAAATAGTATAGTCCGCTAAAGTCGAAAGATGTATCTAAGTGATATTTATAAGAATAATACACAATAATTTTATTGATTTATTTCTGTGGATTATTATTGTAAAGAGAAGCAAGAACA